TGTATGTATGTATGTATGTATGTATGTATGTATGTATGTATTTGTTTATGTATGCATGTATGTATGTATGTATGTATGTATGTATGTATGTATGTATGTCTGTGTGTGTGTGTGTGTGTGTGTGTGTGTGTGTGTGTGTGTGTGTGTGTGTGTGTGTATGTATGTATGTATGTATGTATGTATGTATGTATGTATGTATGTATGTGTTTATGTATGCATGTATGTATGTATATTGTGTATATATATGTATATTGTGTGTATATACAGGGAATGGTCTGACCCATCTGATCCAAAAGGTTGAACTGAGGACCCACAGCCCAGATGTGAAAATAGCTTAGGGTATTTTTTCCTTGAGGAATTGGGATTTTTTTTTCTTCTAAATAAAGAAGCAAAAAAAAAAAAAAGATAGATACCTCTCTTTTTTAATTCAATGCAAATGTTCAGTACTTTTTCGGAATTTCAGACCACATCACAGGTGTGTGTTCTCCACTAGCCAGGTCACAAGTGAGCAGTCTAAGATGTAAGTGAGATTAGAAAGATGAAAGTGCAGACTATGGTGATGTTTGGCATCAATGATGATTTCTTGAAAATCACTGCCATGTTGGAGCCACATTAGCATTAGAGGAATCAACGTTAAAATTTCTGTTTAGTTGGCTGATTTTAGGTGATGTTTGGCATCGATGATGATTTCCCAAAAATTAGTGCCACGTAGGATCCACATTCGGATTTGAAGAATCAGTGATGTTTTTCTTGTTTGGTTGGCCAATTATGTCGATTTCTAGGAAATCATCCAAAAATCGATTATTGAAAGAAGCCCTTTTCAGGGATCACCTTTTTTGGTGTTTTCCTGACTTTTTAACTGATTCCGATTTTTTGAGGATGACATGGCATTGAATAATAACTATAATACAAAAATAATCAGCCCTTTAAAATCAGTACCAAACAGACACAAAGACAATTTCTCAAAAATCAGTTTACATGGCATAAATGATACCAGACAACAATTTTTGATGATTTTTCAAAAATCACTGATTCCAGAAAATCACCTAAATGATACCAAACAGAAATTGGTGCCACATAGGATCCACATCAGAATTTGAAGAATCCGTGATTTTTTTTCTTGTTTGGTTGGCCGATTATGTCGATTTTTGGGAAATCATCCAAAAATCGATTATTGAAATCAGCCCTTTTTCAGGGATCACTTTTTCTGGTGATTTCCTGATTTTTAACTGATTCCAATTTTTTTGAGGATGGCATGTCATTGAAAAATAACTCTAATACAAAAATAATCAGCCCTTAAAAATCAGTACCAAATAGATACAAAGCTGATTTCTCAAACATTAGCTTACATGGTATAAATGATACCAAACAACAAATTTTGATGATTTTTCAAAGATCATCGATTCCAGAAATCACCGATTTTTGGATAATTGGCAAGGAGAAATCATCATCGATGCCAAACATCACCTTAGCGATTTTCAAGAAATTGGCCAAAAATCGATTATTGAAATCAGCCATTTTTAGGGATCACCTTTTTTTGGTGATTTCCTGATTTCTAGCTGATTCCAAATTTTTGAGGATGACATAGCATCTGAAATCGGCTTACTTAGCATCAATGATACCAAACAACAATTTTTGATGATTTTTCAAAAATCATTAATTTTTGAATAATCAGCAAGAAGAAACGATCATTGATGCCAAACATCACCTACATCATCAATTTATGATAACGAAGTTGCTGCATCTTTTCTATTTATCAGTTATGATACTAAAAAAACAATTCCCAACCATATGACTTTCACAATTTGGTACATGTATCATGGATCATTGGATCCCATATTTGTTTTAATTAATTAATAATTAGGTAAAATTTTCCATGGTTGGATCTCTCTCTCTCTCTCCATATCTATCTATATTTATCTATCAAGTCAGCTAGCAACTAAATACTCTACGTACATAATCTACGTTTTAATTAAGGTTTATGATATTAATAATTAATTAAGGTATAATGAATAGTAATATTTGATTAGACATATTACTGTAGTAATATGTATTATGTTTGGTGCTAAGCTTTGCTAATTTTAAAAAAAGTATTTGGCAATAAGTAAGTTTTTCTTACAAAAAAAAGTTTTTTACAAGAAAGCTATAAGTTAACAATTAGGCATCATCTTGAAATAAATTATTCTTTTCTATCTAAAGATGAGAAGGCCAAGAACATTAGAAATCTTCTTATGTTTCATTTACGCTTAAAAAACCTGTGCATTTGCACGGGCCCAATTAGAAAGTTTCTTCTTCTATACACATGAAAAACTAAACACTGTTTCTCTCAAAAAAAATGGAGATGGTTCCTGCAATTCAAATAACCTAAATCCGGCTTCCATTACTCTATTCAATTGTAGCAATAAAAAAAATTAAAATAGGAATAGAAAAGAAGGGTGTGACTCATGATAACAAAAAAAAGGAAGTTGAGGTGGAGATTAAAACACTATCATTCTTTAGAAACATAAAGATTGTGAATCCAATCATGAAAGACCAAACATTTTAGTGAGTGATTTTCTTCAAACTAAGATAGATAATCGAATCTAATCGCATAGTTTACAAAAAGAAAAGTATTATGGGGATGGCAAGGGAAAAAATAGGAAAGTTTCTAAAAACAATGTCTTTTTAATGGGAAAGTGTGGATGAGAGTATATTTTCTATCTAAAAAGGCAGAAAATTGGGTAAATAAAGTTAATTTGAAAACTGAACCGCAAAGGTCTCGGTCCAGTTACTATAGTTGAACCAGAAAGCCCAGTCCAGTTTTCACTTTCAAAACATTGGTTTGGGTGATTCCCAGCCCATTTATGGCCTGAAGGATTTTCTTTTTTCTGGTGAAATGGATATTCATTATGGCCTGAGGTTGAATACCTTCGAGGTTAATGGTTCCAACCCGAAGTAGGGCTATCATTTGGGCCGGGTTAAAACCATGGCTCAACCCCCTAAATTTGCATGGATTGACTTCCGGGCCGGGTTTAAACCGGTCACCCTTGAAATGGAAACTATCACCCGAATTCTAAGTTTCTAACAAGCTAGTATAATACAACCAAACCCAAAGAGACAAGTGAGTACTAGCAGTTTGGCCTGTTCTTCAGTCATTGGCAGACCTCTGCTTTCTTATGGCATGTAATGCATCATGTCAGCTTATTGGCTTGATTCTATGACCCGCAGACTACATAACCAAATGCTCCGGTGGGTTCCATACCCATAGGCCCCACAACTGAAGTTACATGTGGTGGTGATATTCATGTTTTCGGATGGTCATAGTCATGGACTTCATAGAGATTATGATCACAAGATGTTATCCCCAAACATTCCAAATTTTCATCTATGTACAGTAGATTCTTCATTCTTGGGCCCACAATGTTGAAAGTTGTCACCCGTGACCTATTTAATATGGATACCACCTTAGCTACCAAACAGGGTCCTTACAATCAATCAACGGATCACAACAAAAGCAAAAAAAATACATACAAAATTGAGCGGTGACTGATTAGCTTTTTTAGCCAAGACTCATACACCTCACATATGAGACATCTACTTAAAACAAAAGGAGACATAATCTTTTTATATTTGTCAAGTAAAGGACATAATCTTCTACTCCTAAAAATAAAAAGGTTTGTCTGTGTCTACCCTCTATATATCTAATGAGTGTTTGGATCAACTATGATTTCATTCTCATTCTCTCTCTCTCTCTCTCTCTCTCTCGCTATTGAAATCAAATGGGTTCATTGGGATTTCTGTTTCTTGTTCTTCTTCCCCTTTCATTCCCTCAACTATTCTTCCAGCAGTCCTCAGTATTGTTGGTGAGAGGAGATGCCAAGCTGATCCAAAGAACATGCAAGAGCACCAAGCACTATGACCTCTGCCTCTCCTCCCTCAGATCAAACTCTTCAAGCCTGAAAGTCGACACAAAGGGATTGGCGACCATCATCATCGGCATTGGAATGGCAAACGCCACAGACACGTACTCATACTTGTCGTCTCAATTGCTGAGTAATACCAACGACACAGCGCTGAAGACGGTGCTCAAAGGGTGCGCTGACAAGTATTCATACGCCAACGATGCTTTGCAAGGAGCTCTCCAGCAACTGGCTTTAGATTCCTACGACTACGCCTATGTGCAGGTGTCCGCCGCGGTCGACTATCCCAACGTTTGCCACAATGCATTTAAGCGGTATCCAGGGCTGACCTATCCGCCGGAGCTAGCTCTCAGGGAGCAAGCTTTGGAGAGTGTCTGTGATGTGGCTTCAGGCATAATTGATCTTCTTGGTCGATAATTTGTTATCCCTTGTTTTCTAACATTTCTAGCTCATCTCTCTCTAGTTTTTGGTGACATTTCTTCTTTCCAATCTTTCAATTGTTACTACCATTATATATTAAAATAAATAAAGATGTTTATTAATGGAGAGTATTGGGTGTTTCAGTAATTCTAAGATAAGTCGTGAAGAATGGATGATAATAAAGTATTTTAATACTTTATTTATTAAAATAAATAAGGTATTAGGAATGTGATGCGTAAATGATGGCTAATTAGCTGCTACCTCTAAGAACGAGCCATTAATAAATTGTTGGATGGTTGCTTGTATTAATTCCTCAAGCTCAAACTCAGTAAACCATATTTTCTCAAATTGATAATTATATCACCCATTCAAGAGGGTCAACCTGAAAGTATAAAATAATAGGTGGCTCACGCGGTTTTTGAATGAAGAAAATAAAATATTAAAAAGTTTGAGTAGATGGGTCTACCTCTGTTGCAATTGAATTGAAATTGCACAGCTTCAACCCAACATGAATGAACGGGATCATCATTTGTCAACACTCAACAGATGGAGATTATTCCAATGCCATCAATTGGGGTTAGGGTTTCGGAAAGAGGAGCCATGGAGAATATAATTCACATGTTTCAATGAAAACAGACAAACTTTTTCTTTCTTTTTTTTTTTTGGTTTTTGTTCTTCTCATCTTCTGTTTTCACATGGGTTCCCCAGAGAAAATCCATGACATAGCACAGAGATGTACAAGAGCCTAGAGCCTGGCAAGGGATATATGGAGATCGAGTAAATAGAGTTGCAATCAGTTGTCACATTTGTTTGTCAATGAGTTGTCTTTTCAATTCTACTAGTGAATAGAAGTTCGTGTGATGCACGGGGATTGAAAAAACAAAAAGATGATTAACATAAATAAATAATTGTATTTATTTATTTGAAAAATATAACCATATCATTATTAACTAGTGTGCTACTCATATTCTCACAAGACACAACACTCAAATTACCTTCAAAGTTGGTAAGAATTGAAATCGGTCTTTCAAACTACCTTGGGCTGTCAATGTGTTGGGTCCGATCTTATAGGCTCGATAGACCTAAACTGATTGGGTCCAATTATATATATATATATATATATATATATATATATATATATATATAATTGGATTTATCGGGTCAGACCCATTTGCCCCAAAAGTCGATTGATCCAGTTCTGGGTCTAAAGGTATAGACTCTATTGAGTTTAGTTCAATTCTAGGTCTTTAATATTTCTTGTTTAATTGTTTTTTTTTTACCTATCCGTTGACAGCCCTAAACCTATTAAATAAACATTTTATATCCATCAAACAATAAAAAAAAAGTGAAACATTTTCGCTTATATTTTATGATACATGGATCATGGTACATTGGCAGATATAACAAAAACAAAAAAAAAAGAAATATTACATTTTATTGCTTCTTATGACTGGTAGGAAAGGGAGCAGGACATCTTAGATGCAAAAGTAAAAGTATTTTTCTTTCTGCAATGTCCAATGGAGTTTACATCTGCGCCCCACAAGGGGGCACCCCACAATGTCGCATAGCACATCCCCTCCGTGTATTGAAAACATTTCCCGATGATAATACCAGACCAAATGATGTTATCAATGGGAGATGTTCCCAATATAAGGTGGGAATGCTCTGTGGGACGTTGTGGGGCGCATCTGTCCAATGATGTGCCTATGCGTTTTTTTAATACAAAAGAGCTTTGAACAGAGCAGAGGTGCCCAGCCCCAGTAATCCATGATACAATATACTAAAGATCCTGACCAAAATTACAATTCAGGTTAACCTCATTATCTTGGCCCATATGGGCTTTGCTGGTTTTGTTTCCTTCTCTCCAAATATGAGTTTATTAGACATCTAGGTTATTGATCTCCACATAGGGATGCTATGCAACTTGGGCGGACTAGGGTTGGAATTTTCCTAAAATTTGAATGGGCCAGGCCTACAATCCTAGGCCCAATGCAGTGTAAACCTTTTCCCCTTTATGTTTCAAATATATCATGAAAGGAAGCTACATTTCTCAATAATTTGTAAATTTTATGGGAATCTTACTTTCCTCCATATTATACCACCATTGTTGAATATTTTCTTATTATCCTCTTAGACCTAAAATTGGAATTTACATTTTTGCCCTACAAACACCCCACAGGATATCCCAACCGTGTACTGAAACATCTCTGATTAATAACTTCAGGAGATGTTTCCAATGCACACTGAGATGTGCTGTGAGGCGTTTATGGGATGCAGATGTGATCTCCTAAAATTATATCCTCCACTATCATTAAGACTTGCTAAGAAAAGGAACTTTTAATAAAAATATGATTAATATCCTCCTCTCCACAATATAGATGTTCCCGATCAACCAGCATACCTTTATCGTTCAACAATTTTTTTTTTTTTGTTGGAAGCTTAACCCGAGCTAAAGAAATTTTTCACTTTGAACTGCATTATGATCTCTCTTATTCTATTCCACACTTGTTTTGATAAATGACTTTTCAGTGGTCTGATCCCCTAATTGATCATAAGCAAATTATATTGAAAACTGCCCTTTGGGTTCTTAAGACCAAATTATCTTGTATTCTATATTCCCTAACAGGACTAAAATTGCTCTTATTTCCTTCAGGACTAGGGCTGTCAATTTATCATATATATATATATAAGGTAATTAGCTTTTGAAAACTTTTTTTTTACTTTTTAGCCATTTTAAGCATAAAAATTTAGTTGCAGATTAAATCTGAATCCAATCTAAGCCTAGTTAATCAGATATTGGATCATATTAGGATCCATGATTGGATCGGATGCAAATGTAATTGGATTTGATCCAAAATCTGATTACAGCTTATATATATTTGGGACTAAATAAAGAGGGGATACCGAACTCAGCCCACCCTGTCACATGTATTTCAAACTACTAAAGCTTGTATATACAAATAATTAGCGGGAACCCGTGCGATGCACGAAATGGCGGGTTTTCACTAATGGTCATTTAGTTTTGGGTGACAAACTCCCGATTTGATCAAGTCGATTTGGTAGGAAAAATAGCCTGCAACCGAATTGAACCAATTCTTGAACACTCCTAATTTTAGCTGAATTAATAGTTTATATCTTCAATAATTATTGAAGATTTATAACAAAATTACACAATTATTGAAAATAAATTTATGATGAAAAAACAATAGCATGGTTTTTAAAACCGACCCGGAGACCGAACCAGTTAGGGGTCCAGTTATCGGGTCGAATGGTCTGATCGTTTGAACCGTATGGTCAGCCCGGTCTGACAAAAAAATTAAAAAATAAAAAACAGTGAAAACCGTTTGAATGGTTAATAGCCCGAGTCATCGGTTTGTTGACCAAAATCAACGGTTTTTTGAGAAATCCCGGTTTTGGGGAAAAACAAAACCGGCACTTGGCCGGTTCCCGTTTTTTCTAGTCCAACCGTCCGATCCGGTCCGGTTTTGGAAACCATGTACAATAGTTACAAAAATACAATAAATACTAAAAATATATTAAATTAGTCAATAAATAGTATAATCCCAAATAATAGTTTAATCTCTAATAAATATTAATCAATAAATTATAAAAAATACATAATTACTAAAAATAAATTTATAACAAAAATACAATAAATTAAATTTCAAAATTTAAATAATAGTTGTTTGATCTCCAATAATTGTTGAAAATTTCCTGTTCAATAACAAAACAAAAATAGATTTATAAATAATTATTGAAAACATATTTATCAAAAAATACAATAAATAATAATTTTAGTACATATAAATATATAATGAATATACAATACTATTGAAAAATTATTACTGATAAATATTAATTTTTGAAAGTTATTTTCTATGATTATTAATTGATATAAGTGAAATTGGTTATTTACAATATTATATAGTTATTTAAATTTTTAAAATACTATTTTGTTTTTTAAAATTTTTTAAAATTATTTATTAAATTTAATAATCTGTAAAACTATAATTAGTACTATTAGTACATAATTCGTTATTAATTTTGTAAAATATTAAATTATTATTAATATGAATGTTATGAAATCTACTATAATTATTTTTCTACTTTTAAGAAAATTTTTAAAATTATCACATGATTTCATTATCTTAACTATTTAAAATCTAGTCATGTTAAATATTTAAATAATATGTAAAATATTTAAAAATTTCCATTATTTGAATTTTATTTATTATAAAGTTATTACATAATATTAAATATTTTGTCATATAATTATTTATCTATTTTTAATGTTTTGTTATTTAATATATTTAGTTATTGAAATATTTTTAATGTTAAACTTTTATTATTTGAATACAATTTGAATTGAATAATTTGTAAAATTATAATTTATATTGTTACTACATAATTTCATGATAATTTTTGTAAAAATATAGAATTATTAATAATATAAATATTATTAAATGTATTATAATTAATTTTTGTATTTTGAATAAATATTTTAAAGTTGGTATATAATTTCATTATGATATTTAAATGATTATGAAAATTTTTAATCGACATTTTCTTTAGATAGATGTAGATAAAAAGTGAGGGAGAGGATAAATTAGAATTAGGGATAGTTTAGGAGATAATCTCTCTACTAAATTAGAAGAGATAAATAGGAATTAGTGATAATTTAGGAGATAACTAGGAATTAGAGACAATTTAGGAGAAAGTGATAACACTTAACTAAACATTAGAAAAATAAATTCTTCTTTTTTTTTTATAATTATTAGAAATAGTTAAGCTTATATTATATTTAATGAATAATTAGAGCAAGGAGAGGCATGATGAGATGGACATACCGTGTCAATGAGTATTTTGGTTTAGCACCGGTCCACCTCAACCCAAACCTACCCCGATTAAGGCTGGTCAGGGAGGGTTTACCACTTAACACAGCCCACATGCAACCCTAATTATATATTATTTTGTGCTCTCTTACCATTTAATATTAAATAAATAAGCTGTTTAAAAGCTGCTAAAATCTTGCAAACTATTCAAATGGAAACTTACAAAAATGACGGGATCTTCTGGTTACCTACATTCAGCCATAAATCAAGGTATTTAGGTACTGTTTGATGCAATGAATAAACAAAGTAAAATCATAAAATGGTTCAGATCTGCTACAAGGTACAAACTACAAACAATGCCGAAGCATCACTAATTAATTAATGACTTTTGACGCGGCGAGATTTAGTGTGTCCCTTAGTCCCTCCAATCCTTGAGGACGACATGACCTTGGTTCAGGCTTGCATAAACAACATGAACCATTCGAGGTCAACAAAAACCTACATGCCAAATTGCCAACCAAGAGGAGAAAACACAACACTACAGGTCAAGAATATAGTGGCATTGAACTCACGGGCTGAGTGAGAGTACGAAAGTTCATTCAGAGAGCAAAAGGTGATTCAATTCAAATCGTGTATTGAACTATAGGTTGGCTGACCGCTGACAGGCTGAGTGCATGGGCGTGTATGGGCTTGGCCGTGGGCCTGTTTCTCCTACGACGTGGATGGGCTGTTTTCACTTAGCCTTCCTTAACATACTAAAGGATGTAACAAATATGTGAATGTCTCTTAACAAAAACAAGTTAAACTATATTCAATTCTGATCCAAGTGCATTTCCAACAGCATCAGCAACTAAAAACCAACTAAAGAAAGAAAAAAAGAAAGAACCCTTCCATTATGCTCGTTACATGTATTTATATTCTTGTACTACAGTTACATAAAAACAACCCACATGCTGAGGCTGCAACGGTGCAACTCTTCCTTCTACAACGCCACCTCCTTGTTAAAAATCCAGCTGAACCTCACGCTCTGCGGTTGCATCTTCCTAGCCCGCTCATCCGCCCGTTCTTGTAGCCTCCTTATCCTCGGCGCCAGCGTGCACACAAAATCCTGCGCCTCTCGCGCTGCGCTCGTCAACCCCTCCATCTTCTCCAGCTTCCATCTCCCCACCAAGAACTCCAGTATGTCCGCATAGTCATCCGCCGTGTACACTCCCATTCTCTGAGCCACCGCCGAGAAGTGCTCGAAGATTCGTGGGTCCTGTCCGTCGTACATCAAGTGGGCCGGCATCGTGATCTTCTTCCGCATCATGTCCGCAATTCCCAGCATTGCTCCGCTGGGGTCCACTTCCAGAAGTTTCTCCACTATCCTTTGGTACGCGTTCTCGTGCCTCTTCTCGTCCGATGCGATCGTGCCGCATATTTTCGCCAGCACGGGGTCCCCACCCTCCCTGGCCATCCGAGCCGTGTTGCCATGTGACACAAAGGTGGCCCGCTCTTGGAACGACGTGTACACGAATCCTAAATACGGGTTGTTTTCAGTTCCCGGGTCCTGTCAATCCATGCATCAAAGATTCAAAAACCGTCAGAACTTTTTGACATTGTCACATCATCCTTCTACGTGGCACTTTAGACTCTACGTTGACTTATAGTTTGCCCAAGAAAACCATCAAATTTACAAATTAGCACTCAAATGTGGGATCTGAACTTACCATGCCTGAGGCAATTAGATACTGCACGGTCCTTTCGATCATGAGCATGTCGACCCTCCCGGACAAATAGAGATATGTTCTGATAAGATCACCGTGGCGATTCTCTTCGGCCGTCCAAGCCCGGGTCCACGTGGCCCATGGGCTCGCACTTGCTCCGGTCTCATCACGGACTCCATCGAGCGTATTGATCATGGTCTGGTAGGTGGGCAGCGCGTCCTCCGTGATCATATCGCCCACTAGCACCACAAAGTACTCATCGGGTAGTTCGGAGGTCCGCTCGCGCAGGGCTCGGACCTGATCCGTGAACTCATCTGTGGGCAATGTGGGGTCCGGCAAGAAATCGTGCGGCTGCCAGCAGTTCTCCACGGGCTTTAATAGCGGTAGGACGGATGTCCTGGCCCATCCTTCTAGTGATTTGAATACGTCGACCTTCTCCGGTGGCATTGAGTGGGTGACCTGCGGACGCGCCAGTGGAACAGCAACCGCTGAAACTGGTTTCCGCCGGAAACCGCCACTTCTGGCCGGTACTCTGAAACCACGAGTCAGAAGATTCCTGTTGTGGCCTCCCGGCAAAGAGAGGTGCTGTGACTGGAGAGAGAGTGAGGACTGCATCTGCACGGTTCCTTAGATTCGGGCGTTTGGGAGATGGAGACTGGAGAGAAAAGGGAAGAAGGTCGTTTATTTATATAAACGAAAATCGCAGCGGAACAAAGCTGGCCCTGTTTTTACAACCGTGTCATTTTGACATTTTCCCTACATAATTTTGTAAGAAGTGAATATGGTATCGATCTAAAATCTAAATCTAAAAGACTAAATTAGCCTTGACCCGAGGTGCTTTTTTTCTCCAGAGGGTAAAGGGTATTCTAGTTATTTTATAACTTCGGCTAAAACCAGGGAAGAAGCAAAGAAAACCAAGGTGCGCAGTGGTTTTGTGGGGGGAGAGAGAGAGTGAAGCGTGGAGTGTGGAGGGAGCTTCCTTTTCTGAGCATTTCTGTGGGTTTGTTTCGATGAACGGGATCCTCGGGTTTAAGTTTGAAAAAGTTAAAAAGACAGTAGTGGCCTTGGTAATATCGAATTCGAATCTCTGATTTGCTAATTAAAGCATTAAACAGGGGTCTTCCTCCTACTTCAAGTTCAAACCAGCAGCAGCCATTTGGATTGCTTGCATTTGCGTGGGTTGGCTTTGCACGTTGCGCACTTCCACGTGGGCCTCCAAAAAAGTAAATTTCACTTGTTAGTTGTTGGGCTCTGCCTCTGCCAGAGTGGTGTGTAGAGTGTCAGGTGACTCGTGTCTTTTGTCCGGGTTTCGGTTGCTCTCAATTGACTGGAAACAATTGTTCAGTCCAGATTCATTTTTAGGTATCAAAATTGTTAAGAAGATCATTAGCCCGCGGGCCCGACCCAACCTGGCTAACCCGCCCAACATCCATTTTTTAGTCTGGCACCCTTTGATTCCAACAAGTAACAGCTCGGAAGCCCTTTTGACCCTCTGTCCATCTCCCTTGCCCGCCATGTGTTTGTGCCGGCCGGTGTCATAGAGAGATGTGTTTTAATTGTTAAGCTAAAATGCTTGATATGTGATTTTTACACGGTTTACTTGTCTTTGTTGTAGACCAATTTTGCTTACGTGTTAATCTCGTTTTCGTGAGAAAAAACACTACAAAAAAAAAGAGAGAAAGAAAAACTAAATTAGACTCGGAGATATGAAATGAGGATTCCCGGAAACAGTCGTTCCCTGATCAGCTCATCTGTTCTAGCAACCGACATAGACTTTAATAAACTTGCTCTTGCCGGCAGATCCGCATTCCACCATACCCTCCTCTCATTGAAAATATCTCCATGTTTCCTATGCGTCGTCACTATCACTTTTATTTCTAGATGATGGTTCTGGAATGGACCAGGCTAGAATTAGACTTGGCAAACTGCAGTCCATCTGTAAGAGTGGGATCGCCTATCCGGCCCTACATGCATGAAATTTCAAATATGCATGCATGGACCAACAACCTATATGGCTGGACCAGTCCAAAACCCGCAATTCTTAGCTTTAACCAGTTTAGCTTGTCAGGCATTTAAATGCTTAACATTACTACACTTCAGTCTTTTACACCATAAGTCATGCCAAAGAGCTTTCTATGATAATTTGACACATTGTTACGGTTCAGCACAGGCTTAGCCTTGTCTACGCTTGGCAGGCTTACGTTAGGGACATGCCC